TATGTATGATATAATTCTCGGCATAACGGTTGGTTTCGTCAGCTATTGTTTGCATGATTGTCTGATCAAAAAATAACTTGAACCCCTCAATTGCAGTGTTTACTTGTTGTATAGGCCCCTTATTCCCTGAAAATGGAATTTTTTCCCCCTACATAATCCTTATCCACTTTTTGCCACTTCGAATTACTGTCAATTTTCACGCATTTTACTTGTGCATCATTACGTCATCTGAATCACTTGAACTGTCACTACTTTCAGGTGGTTTTTCGGACACATTATGGTCGTCATCACTATCACTATCTATTTCACTGTCACTGTTAAAAATGCTAATATTTTCATCAATTGTTTCATCAAAAATACGAAGCATTTCTTCATCACTAGCACGGCATGAGGTACTAGGGCGCGCCATTTTGGTCTACTGTTCAAGCACGCTTCGCAAACAATCGATGTCTCACAAGGGGAGACCACGTCCCATGGAACACCGATTTTTTTTAAATTTGGCACAGATGTTCTACTCGAAAAATAATTAGACCCATGTTTTGCCAAAAGTGTAGATAAGCCCCCGTTTTCGAATAATTTTGAGTTAAAAATCAAAGTTCTTCGATCGAGCTGAAATTTTACACAGACGCTCTACGTGCAATTTTAAGGATACATATTTTGTATTTTACAAAAATAACGATTTTCAAACAATCGACGTGTGGCATAACTATCATAAAGTTAGCACTATTTACGAAGCAGCAGCGTGGCCTGGTGGATAGCGAAACGTATCTCGGATACGATGGATGTAGGATTCGAATCCCCGTGTTTGGTTTTTATTTTTTTTTATATATTATTATATATTTTATTTATGTAAACCCTGAAAGTGCACTACTTTAATATTTGAAACATTTATGATCAAAGAAAGTTTGTATATCGAAATTATTTTTACGCTATCTGCGAGGAACCGTTAGAAGGTTGCGAGCTGCAGGTAATAAAGTCGGTAGGACAGGTCTCCTTCTCCCGAAAAACGAATAGCCATTGTTTAGAAGGGGGGTGGGGGCATTTTCTGTAGTATTTTACGAAGATTGCTGCGTATGTTTTAATGGTTTTTGTGTTTCGGAGCTTTTTCTCTTTAATGTGGAACGGCCCGCAATAATCGACGCCTGCCACGAGAAACGGTCATTATAAAGGTGATTCGATTTTTCGGCAATTGACCTAACGGGTATTGGGGAACCGCGGAGTGTAATCTGTGACATGTTATGCATTGCTTGATGATTCTTTTTACTGCCACTTTGGCGTTGATTGGCCAGAAGTTTTGCCGAACTGTGCTCAGTATACCTTATGTGCCACTGTGCCCGTGTTTTATGTGGCTATCGCGAATTATGATGTCAGTTATGTTGTGTTTGTTTGGTAATACGGCGAGGTGCTTGGATTCGAAAGGAATGTCCGCGTTAGCTAATCTCCCTCCGACTCTTATAATTTCGTCCTTGTCGAGGAACGGTCTCAATGGCAACAGTTTGCCCGGTTTAAGGATCGTCGGGTTTCTTGTGTTGTCATAGATTTCGGGAAACGCTTCGACCTGCACTAGTTTGAGGATTGTGTTGCTGGCTTTGAGAAGCTCGCTGACCGTGAGTGGGCCTACGTCGCTAGTTTGATTGCAGGCATTGTTGCCGAATCGACGGCAGTATGCAATTACTCGTCTGAGCCGCTCGATGCTTGAAAATTTGTGTAAAATTTCGGGAATTTCCGTCGGTCGGAGTTCGTGACGTGGCCATGTATCCTCCCCCTGAGACAGCCAAGTTGAACCGCGAAACCACGTCGTGTGGTTGTTTAGGTCACCCGGATTGATACCGCGCGATAGTATGTCTGCTACGTTTTCTTCGGACGACACGTGACGCCATTGATTGGGGTCGCTGGTTTCGAGAATTTTACTAACCCGATTTGCGATAAACGATTTTAGTGTGTGTGGTGGGGTATTGAGCTAATGTAGCACTATGGTGGAATCGGTCCACAGTGTTACGCTGTCGAATGAAATTTGTAGCGAGTGCGTTACGGTCTGAGTAGTTTGATCAGCAAAGCCGCGGAGCATAATTCTAATCTGGGAATCGTCTGAGTTTTGAGTGGGGCTACGCGCGACTTGAAATAGAGCGAGTGTGTCGTATGTGCGTCTGTGAAGCGGGTACAGCGGAGATAAATACACGCACCATATGCTCGTTCACTGGCATCGCACAAGCCGTGTAATTGTCTGTACTTTGGGTGATCGGATGTGACGCGTCGCGGGATTTCTATGTCGTGTATGTATTTTAATTGGAAGTGGAATGATATCCACGCCTCGTGAATATGTTGTGGCACGTGCTCGTCCCAGTCTATTTGTGACTTCCACAGATCTTGCATGATGACCTTGGCCTGTACAATGATCGGGCCCAGTAATCCCAAAGGATCAAAGATCTATGCTATTCGCGATAGGATCAGTTGTTTTGTTAGCTTGGTTGGTAAGTCGTGGTGCCGTAGTGAGTATGTTAGCATATCGTTTGTTGGCGTCCAATATAACCCCAATGTCTTTTGGTGAGTTGTTGAATCTAGGGCTATGTGGTCGTGAATGCTGATTGATTTAAAAATCTCCGTTACTTTCGACTCGTTTGAGACCCATTGGTGTAGCTCGCCCTCGCAGTCAGGTCGGTGAGTTGGTCGCGTAGTTCGCAAGTTTCGTCAATGGTGTCCGCCCCGGTTAGTAAATCGTCGACATAAAAGTCCTTTAGGAGACTTTTCGCGGCTAATGGGAATTGTTCGCCGTCGTCAAATGCTAAGTGTTGGAGTGTTCGGGTTGCAAGGAACGGTGCGGATGCTGTGCCATATGTCACTGTGTTTAACTGATACGTTTTTATGGGATTGTTCGCGTTGTCGCGCCATAGAATTTTTTGATACTTTCGGTCGTCGGGATGTGCGTCGATTTGTCGGTACATTTTCGTGATGTCCGCAGTCATTACGTATTTGTGCAGTCTGAATCGTAAAATGATGGTGAATAAATCATGTTGTATCGTCGGTCCTATCAGTAGCGTGTCATTAACCCCTTAACCTACGATTTATGTTTCAACAGCCTGGGCCCAAAGCGTCAACAAAATCGCGCAGCCTTCGAGTCATTTCGCGGCTCGGCAAATCGGTCCTAAGTTGTACTAAACGCGCACGACTTACGGAATGTACAACTGGTTTAATCTTGTGGACTATTTGATAAGTAATTACAACCTGATGTAATAATTGTGGTAGATATACCACAAAAAGTTTATTATCAATTACTAAAATATAACATAAATTAATAACATAACAAATACAAAAATAACAATAATATAACAATAACAAAAATTAATAATCTTCAATGGTGTGATATCGTTCGAAACATACTGGTACATGTAATGGAACTTTGCACCTATTGCACTCCCACGTTGTTTCACTACGACTTTTATTTTTCGTGCAAACTTTACAAGGTCTTGATGGCTTTAATTTTGATGCTGTTGGGTCAATATGTTTAGGAAAATGAGCCCAATGTTTCGCGTGCAGTCTCTCTGGTATATCTCCGCACGATAATTGTCCTTGTCCTTTATAATCTGGTTTTGGCATATTCTTCAGTAATAATTCGGATATCTCGATTCTATAATCAACGTAACTTTGTTTTTTCCCGCTGTTTCTTTTGTTGAATAAAATGTACGAATTGAAAAAAGCAATATCGAACAGATAAAAGAAAATTTTTCGGTATCCTTTCATATATTTTCTCATGATTGGAAAGCAGGCTAGTATTTGGTCTTGTCGATCAATTCCAATCATTCCCTTATTGTACTCGATAACACAATTTGGTTTCGAAGTACGATTGAATCCTTGCGTAGTCATTTCTACTGTTTCGTGTTTTGTAGCCATAATATGAACATCCCGCTTATCTTTCCATTTTACAGCGAGTATTTGATTGCAGCTTCTCATTGTGTATGCCCCCCCTTTTTAATTTTACTTTACACAAATCGTTTGGCATATTCTTTCTATTCGCACGTACTGTACCAATGACATTTGTTTTATAATTGAACGATAGTGTCATAAATCATTTTGGCGAAGAGTACCAATTATCTATGTATAAAGTGTGTGTTTAGTCCGAACCGAAAGGATCGTTCCGGAGTAGTAAATTTGCACGTGGTGTGCCGACTAAACTAAATTTCGAAGGACCACCCCTTATTCAGGGGACTAACGAGACGTTTTACTATTCTATTGTATTTTAAAACTCAACAAAAGTATACACTGATCAGATTAGGAACGGCTAGCGCACTATCTGTTTGTCAAATGGTAACTAAGTACGTAAGCAAGCAAGTAGGCAAGTAAGCGACTAAGCGAATAAGCGAGTAATAAGCAATAAGGTCGAAATCACGGCATGCCGCCGTTTTTATACTGCTGACTTTGGGGCGGGGGTGCGACGATGCCGACGTAGCTTGGCGTCCAAGGTGGAGGGTGCTACGTTTGGCAATTCCGGGGACTTTCCACCGCGTGCGTCAGCCCTTGGGCCCGCGTACAAACCATCGACGAAAACAAGGGAGGCCCAAGGCGAAGAGCCGCGCACGTGTGGGCCATCCGACAGTCTCTTGGGGCTGCAACCACTCGAGACTGCCTTCGCCAACCAAGTTTATGACACTTTGTCCCTTTTGTTTAGCGAAACTCTAAGATATTTTTTGCCCATGCTGGCCTTGACGAAACTCTACAAACGCGGTTCTATGTCATAAACCTGGTCGACTCACCGAAGCCCAAACATCCCGCCCACCTTGAACGCTCAAGCGTTTAATATACTGTAAAAACTAAACATAAAACTAACTAATTGGTACGATTCATGTCGATGAATTAAATGCTCACGGTGGATACAATTTTAAACTATGATGCTACTTAATGCTACTCCGGGGAGGTTACAACTATATATATTTTTTTTAAGAGCTAGACTAGTCTATTAGTATAACAAGTACTGATTGATAGTGAATGGGAACAGATCCCAAGAATTACTCTACGTTCGGTTGTGAGCCGGGGGTATTTTCCGCAGCGTCTTCTTCCTCTGCCAGCGGTAAGAGGCAGATTCTTGTCACCGGCCTCTTGATAATGCCATCAGACACCTTGATGGACACCACCCGGATTATCCCATCGGTGCCTGGTTGGAGCTCGGTAATTCTCCCAAGACGCCAACGTAATGGTGGGATGTTGTCTTCTCGTATGACGACTAGGGCACCTATCTTCACTATGGTTGGTGAATGAAGCCTCCATTTTTGACGTTGCTGGAGATGGTGTAAATACTCCTGCTGCCAACGCTTCCAGAAATGTTGCAGCATCTGTTGGACTAACTGATGCCGGTTTAGTCGATTTTGTTTTAGATGCAATAAATCCTGTTGCGGCAGGGCGGTTAGTGCATCTCCGATTAAAAAATGTCCAGGAGTGAGAGGAGTGAGATCATTGGGATCTGACGAAAGAGGATGAAGAGGGCGGGAATTCAAGCATGCCTCGATCTGTGCTAGTATTATGTACAGCTCTTCGTACGTGAGGCGCTGTTCCCCTATTATTCTTTTGACGTGGTGTTTCGCTGATTTGACAGCACTCTCCCATAGACCCCCAAAGTGCGGCGCATGTGGCGGGATCAGGTGCCACTGTATCTGCTCCTGTGCTAGTAAATTTCCTACCTTTGCGTGGTGTTCTTTACTATTTAGTAACACTCCTAATTCATTAAGATTGTTGCGTGCTCCAATGAAATTTCTACCGTTGTCTGAGTAGATACAGTGACTCCGTCCCCTACGAGCTATAAACCGATTGAGGCAATTCAGGAAGGCGTCAGTGCTCAAGTCTGTTGCTAATTCTATGTGTACAGCCTTGGTGACGAAACATACAAATATACAAATGTAGGCCTTGTGTGCGGTGCGAGCACGCCCGCGTTCCCTAATTAATAACGGACCGGCATAATCGATTCCGCAGGTAGCAAACGGTCGAGCAGGAGTCACCCGAGTTGCAGGCAAGTCTCCCATGATCGGATTTATGCCGGTCGGTTTTGTTCGGAAGCAACGAATGCATCTGTGTATTATTTTCTTAACCACGCGCTTGCAAGCTAGTATCCAAAACCGATTGCGCAACGATGCGCTGGTGAGCTGACACCCCGCGTGGAGCAATCGACAGTGTTCATAGGTCACCACTAAATTCGTCAATGGGTGGTCCGAGGGTAGAATCAATGGGTGTTTCTGATTGTAAACTATAGGAGCGTTTCGGAGTCTCCCGCCCACCCTGAGCAAACCCTTTGAGTCCAGGAACGGATTCAGCGAGGCTAATTTGCTGGTTTGTGCTAGCGGGTTAGCTGCTTGTAGATCGCTGATTTCCTTGCCGAAGCACTCTTGCTGTACGAGTTTGATTATTGTCTCTTCGGACCGAGCTAATTCGCGTGCTGTTAAAAATGATTGCCATGAATTTGTGGCGTTAGGTTGCACGGCGAGGGTTTGACTGTTCTCCCGCGTTTTGGATTTCAGCCGATCTACGAACTTCCTACAGTACGCTACAATTCTAACAAGCCTAGAGTAGGATGAAAAACGGCAAAAGATGTCCGTCGGGCAATTAGGTGTTGCGACATGACTACGAACGTGGTTGATCTCTTCCGGCATTGTGTCTGGGATTGTCTCGATTGAGGGCCATTCGTGCTGTTCTTGTAATAGCCACGATGGGCCAGACCACCACAGGTCTGTACGCCTTAACGTTGTGGGGTCGGTGCCTCGTGAAATCACGTCGGCAGGGTTGTCTTCCGAAGCCACGTGGTGCCAGTTTTCTACTGACGTAGATTGTCGAATTTCTGACACGCGGTTCGCCACGAAGGTCTTCCAACGGTTTGGTTGACCTCTGATCCAGGCTAGAGCAATTGTGGAGTCTGACCAGTAATGTTCGCACTTGAATGCTAACTGTAACGCGTATCGGATTCGTTTGACTAATTGGGCTAACAAAAGGGCACCGCATAATTCTAGCCGCGGAAGGGTGGTTGTTTTCAAAGGAGCGACTCGAGATTTGGCACAAAGCAATCGCACCGTGTACCTGCCGGTCTCGTCGAGCGACCGCAGGTAGATGCACGCACCGTAGGCTTTTTCCGACGCGTCCGAAAACCCGTGCAGTTCTACTGCCCTTGCGTTATCGCATATTACACGGCGCGGTATTTCTAATGTCTTGACCTGGTTCAATTCTGTACGAAACCTTGACCATTGGGCATGAAGATCTTGATCTACACTTTCATCCCAACCTAATTGCAGCTGCCACAAGGTTTGCATTAAAATCTTGGCCCTTGTAATTACGGGACCGACTAAGCCGAGTGGATCGAACACCTGAGCGATTTCAGAAAGTATGGTGCGTTTAGTGATGCGAGTATAGATTGGCTCTCTGACCGAGAACCGAAGCTCGTCTGGTTCGGAAAGCCATATCAATCCTAATGTTTTGGAATCCCCTTCGGGAGGTTTGATCTCCTTTTCTATGCTAGACCGATCATGCAAGATTTCGGGCTTGTTTGATGCCCACTTTCGTAACTGAAACCCTGCTTGCCCTAGAACTTGTGTCAGCTGTTTCTTTAATGCCTGTGTTTCCCTTACTGTCTCGCATCCGGTGAGCAAGTCGTCTACGTAAAAGTCATAAATTATCGCACGACTTGCTAGAGGCGATTGATCTGCACATTCTAATCCTATCTGGTGCAAGACGCGAGTGGCTAGAAATGGGGCCGAAGATGTACCGTATGTCACCGTATTCAATTCGTACGTGTTGATCGGACCGTCCACACACGAACGCCAAAGAATACACTGGTACTTCCGATCCTCTGGTCGGACGCGCACTTGTCGATACATTTTCTCTACATCTGCCGAAAGTACAAATTTGTGCTTTCTGAATCGAACTACGATGGAAAAAAGGTCGTCTTATACGGTCGGCCCTACTAATTGTACGTCATTTAATGACAGGCCCGAGGACGTTTTTGCCGACCCGTCAAAAACTATTCTGACCCGAGTCGTGGTGCTAGAGGCCTTGAAAACTGCATGATGCGGCAGGTAATACCTAAGGGTAGTGCTAGTTGTCGCTGTGTCGCGTCGAGTCATATGTCCAAGTCGTTCATACTCGTGCATGAAGGAAGCGTATTCTCTGCGTAAATCGGGTTGCCGAGCTAGTTTACGTTCAATGGCTGCGAATCTTTTTTCAGCTTGAGCTCTCGAATCCCCTAACTGGTTGATGCTGTTTGTAAATGGAATGCTCACTAAATATCGGCCGTCATCGTCGCGTCTTGTCGTCCGTCGAAAGTGTTGTTCGGCGTCGTTCGTCGCGTCGGTCAACGGTCCGTCCTTGTCTGATGTTACATTTTCTAATTCCCAAAATCGCGCCAGGCTAGTATCTAACTGCTCATTCGAGATCACGTAACAATTGCTAGTTCGCGTTCTACGGTCTGTTGAATTTAACTGTCCTCCCAGAACCCAACCTAATCTCGTCTTTTGCCAAATCAAGCCTTCTGTTCCAGCCTTCTGCTGTCCGATGCACAGGAGCTGCCAGAAGAGTCCTGCACCTATCAGCAGGTCAACTTGCTTTGATTTGGCAAAGTTTGGATCAGCTAATTGCATCCCCGGTGGGCACGATGTGCTCGTCCGATCAATCGGGACATTCGGCATGTCTTCGGTGATGGTTTTTAGAACGAGACATGAGACGTTAGCGCGAAAATTATTGTGTCTGGATGACACGGCTACCTGTGCCCTCGATCGTGTAGAGCTGACCGTTCTACCTAACCCGCCGACCGTCATTTCAATGTTTGAGCGCGGAAGGCGTAATCGATTGCACAGTGCCTCGGTTATGAAATGGGCCTGTGATCCGGCGTCTAACAACGCGCAACATTCATGTTTTGTTCCCTTGTTATCTTCTAAGTAAACTATGGCCGTGGATAAAACTGCATGGTTGCCAATGTTATTAGCTAAGTTTGAGACGCAGGAGGTCGCGGATGTTGGAACGGGCGCGACAGATTCCGAATTTCGAACGAAAGGCTCTGAGCCAGCGGAAACAGAGGCCTGATCTCGATGTAACAACGTGTTGTGCCTTTTCCCGCATTTCCTGCAGGAGCCTCGTGTGCAATTTTTAATTTGATGGCCTTGTTGCAGGCAGTTAAAACAAACTTGTAATTGTTTCACGGTAGCATGCATCTCCGAATGAGGCATACCTTTCAGTTTCTCGCAATGTTGTAGCGAGTGCTCACGTTTGCACAATATGCATTGAGTTTGCATATTGGCAACGTGCGAGGCTACGTAATCTGTTCTGGGTTGAGGCTTGGAGTGACCGGGTGGTTTGTACAAGGGTCTCGAATCGCTACCTGCGGGCTGTCTACCTGCTGGGGCCCGTTCAAGATATTTCGCCTGCTCTTCAACAAATTCTACGAAATTTCGAAACGTTGCGATTTCTGTCAATCTAAGGGACCGTTTTCCCCATTCCCTTTGTGTCGCAACATCTAATTTCCTCGACAAAATCAAGACTAGCAACGTGTCCCAATGTTTGGTTGGCTGGCCTAACGCGCCTAGTGCTAATACGTGGTTATTTGCGTTATCTACCAAGTCGCGAAGGGTTGTGTGCGTTTGCTTGTGAACCGATTGTAGGTTCAGCAAAGCGTTACCGTGGTGGTATATCAACGATTTAGGGTCTTCGTATCTATTCTTCAGTGTTTCCCAAGCTAGCCTATAATTCTCATCAGAAACACCCAATGACCTAATTACTCGAGCCGCGCTCCCCTTTAATGCCGAATTTAAGTAATGGAATCGCTGAATATTACACAGTGATACATTTTGGTGTATCAACGAGACGAACGTGTCGCGAAACCGCAGCCAGTTATTATAATCGCCATCGAATTCTGGCAACACGATAGTGGGGAGTCGCGGGGTAGCTGGCAATTCCGTCGGCGCGGACGTTGTGCTGGGCGACGGCGACGGTTGAGTGGACGCGCGCGATCTCGAAATGTACCCTTCTGCCTTTGCCATCAAGTCGAAGTACGTTGTTTCGAACGTGTCCCTAAAAGCCGCATGCATGGCCTCGTCTTGTGTTTCTGCAACCGCTGACTCTATTTTCGACTGAATGCTCTCGAATTTGTAGTATATCGCTTCATTCATTCTTAGACGTTTTTCTAACGAGTCTATGGGAGTCGCGCTCGCCGATGTCTCAAAGAAGTTCGCGAAACGCGTCAAAGTGGCCTTCAATTGGCCGCGCTCGCGAATTAGTGTTGTCAAGCCGTCCATTTTAACTATAATTTAGCACAGACCGAAAAAAATGCGGGAGTGGACTTACGGAAGGAGAAGATGCTGAGTCGTCTTGGTGGTGACGTCCAGCGAAGTCGTCCTGTCAGAGCTCGATTAGCTATCTCGTCCAGGGGCGGCGATGTACACGTTGACGTCGCCTGATGCCTTCCTGGATGCTGCTCTGCTGCGATGCGTCGTCCGCTGCTAGTCAGAATGTGCGTCCAGTACGTGGACCACAGCTTCCGGATGTCCCGAAGATTTCCAATAATGAAGTATTGGACAATACTTCCGATGCTGTATCGGTGGCAATCCTATCTCGTCCAGGGGTGACGTTGTCCAAATTGTTGACCCGTCCGAACCGCTCTGGATGCTGCTTGTCACCGATCTCAGGTTTCTGGCTCCAAAGCTGAGCGCAGTTGCACTCCTTCTCGGAATCACGTGTTCTGTGTTGAGTTCTATCAATTCTTCGATACTGTTGCTGCGTGGCACTGACCGGCCACAAGAACTATATGTGACGTGGTTCTTATCCGGCTCGAAGGACCAATGTTTAGTCCGAACCGAAAGGATCGTTCCGGAGTAGTAAATTTGCACGTGGTGTGCCGACTAAACTAAATTTCGAAGGACCACCCCTTATTCAGGGGACTAACGAGACGTTTTACTATTCTATTGTATTTTAAAACTCAACAAAAGTATACACTGATCAGATTAGGAACGGCTAGCGCACTATCTGTTTGTCAAATGGTAACTAAGTACGTAAGCAAGCAAGTAGGCAAGTAAGCGACTAAGCGAATAAGCGAGTAATAAGCAATAAGGTCGAAATCACGGCATGCCGCCGTTTTTATACTGCTGACTTTGGGGCGGGGGTGCGACGATGCCGACGTAGCTTGGCGTCCAAGGTGGAGGGTGCTACGTTTGGCAACTCCGGGGACTTTCCACCGCGTGCGTCAGCCCTTGGGCCCGCGTACAAACCATCGACGAAAACAAGGGAGGCCCAAGGCGAAGAGCCGCGCACGTGTGGGCCATCCGACAGTCTCTTGGGGCTGCAACCACTCGAGACTGCCTTCGCCAACCAAGTTTATGACACTTTGTCCCTTTTGTTTAGCGAAACTCTAAAATATTTTTTGCCCATGCTGGCCTTGACGAAACTCTACAAACGCGGTTCTATGTCATAAACCTGGTCGACTCACCGAAGCCCAAACAGTGTGACCTCTGTGCAACACTGATTGTGATAACTCTTTGACAACACTTTCAGAGGCGCTATCATTACAATTTATTTTATCATGGCCTGTATATATCTTAAAGTCATAGCAATAACCTGAATCTGATTCACATAATTTATAAAATTTAATACCGAATCTTGCCCTTTTTGATGGATTAAATTGTTTGTAAGATAAGCGTCCCTTAAATTTCATGAGCAATTCATCGATAGTAATGTCCTTTTTCATTGTATATACTTCTTTAAATTTTTGATTCAAAAAGTTAATCACAGGATTTATTTTGCACAATTTGTCTCTATTGGTAACCGGATTATTATTTGCGAAATGCAAACATCTTGTAATTTGCAGATATCTTTTTAGCGGCATTGCTTTTCTAAATATGGGCGTTTCTATAATAGCCCTCTTCGACCAATTCATTTGAATTCTTGGTTTTTTCACCTGAGCCATTATTATGGTCAATGCAAAATATCTTTTAATTTCATTAGAATCCACAAGAAACCAAGTGTCGTCGATTTTTCGGATTCTTTTTGGATTGATTCGTATTTGATCTGCGTATCGATTAGTCTCGGTTACAATATTCTCCCAGATCATGTTATCAATTATATTAAATATATCAAGTTCTTTTTTATTTCCTCCTAACTGACGTAAGGCTGCCTCTTTTATGCCAGGAGTCATCGTATAATTCCAGATTTTTGGATTATTTCTTGTTTCTTTCCAAATCCAGGGTTCTGGTAGTTGATCTTCGTCAGAGGTATCATCATATACTAATCGTTTGCATTTTTTTTTGTACAGAACGTATAATGTCAGTATTCTCACTTTTAGCAGCAGAAGTATCAACATAGCTCTCACTGCTCCCATCACAAAATTTTCTTTTTGAAAACATCTTGGGGGGATACTTTTCTAATATTTAAGAAAATATATTTCAAAGTGCGAACGTGCGTATCACAAGCCTGGTCCTTGCTGTTCGTGGCGAGGCAAATTACAAACTACGATCGTTGTACCACGAGCTATACCCGTAGTATTTACATTTGGCCCAACCGATGTACCACGAGCTATATGCCCGTAGTATTTACATTTGGCCCGACCGATGTACTACGAGCCAGGCCAGTGGTAATCAGTTTCGGCCCGAATAGAAGACTACGTGTCTCACACGTAGTTGTAGGTTAAGGGATTAAGCGAAATTCCCGTTGAGGAGCGAGCTGAGGCGTCGAACACGACTCTTATTTTGGTAGTGACACTGTCAGGTTTGATGACTGGGTGGTGTGGGAGATAGCAACCCTCGCGGGGGTTAGCGTTTATTTTGATCATATGCCCAAGCCGTTCGTATTCGCGTAAGAATTCATGGTATTGCTCTCTTTTTGCGCTATCGCGATT